GAGCAACACGCTGAAGACGGGAGCTGTGGGCCAGACCGACCAAGGCAGCAGGTACAGGCATGTGGTGTGGGTGGCCAAGGTCTCGGGCAACAACATCACTATTGAGGAGTACAACCACAAGCGCCACAGGTACGGCACGCGGACTGTTCCCAAGAGCTCATTCAAGTACATGCACCTCTAGAAGTAAACGGAAAGTGACAAATTAGTATTCCATGTAGCATATCTCAATGAAAGCAGAATACCAAAACGACTATAAGCAGAACACATGGATATGAGGATGAATGTAGCATATCGGAACCACCCGTTGACACTGCTTTTTTTTTTTGGTAATTAATACGATATGTCACTTGTCACTATATTTCCAGGGCCGCCAGTATAGAGGCAAAATCGGAGTGGCTGGCCAGTGTGCATTCTCAGTCAGCAGGTGCCACTTGGAAGGCTAGGGCAGCCCTCCTTAGTATCGCCCACCTGGGATAGATGCATGCCAGGTGTACTGACCTCCAACCACTAGCTAGTGGACGTGTTTGTTGCAACACGACGACGGGGGAATACAGTAAGTGTCCAAAACTGCATCATATCGATGATCCGATTAGTCCCTGATCAAATTCATCCAGGCTATATTTTTCTGCTACTATATTTTTTTCCAAAGCTTCTGCAGCAGCTAGCATCTTGTCTCCTTCAACTCTCCTCTTCCAGTAGTATTTCCCCCCAAGCATATAATACAAATGGCACTTCAATCAGCTGACGCACTGGACGACGGATTCCTGCTCGACACCGATCTGGTAGCCGATGTGGGCAGCAGCCCGAAGAGCCCGAGCAGATCAAGCCAGCAAAGAATGAGAAGAAGCGCGCGCACGATGCAGACCAGCCGAGCAAGAAAAGAAGAAGCGCAAGAATGGCGTGGAGCCGGTGAATTCGCCGTGCCCGCCTTGCTGGACGAGCAGGCGGCCATGTTCAACAAGTACATGGAAGGCCTAACGGGGCTGAGCGATCTGGAAATGTCCGACATTGGCGTGCAGGAGTCTCACATGTACACGACGGAAGAAGAGGCTGCGTCGTTGGAGCCTGGCAAAGACAGCGCTGTCGACGGGCAAAGGGAAGAACAAGATCACGGTGGGGGCCCGCAGGTTCTGGTTCTGTGCAGCTCGGCGCTGCGGGTTTTGGATGGGTCAATCGGATGCGGCCGCTGACCAAGCGCCGGGTGCTGAAGCTGTTCAGTAGGCATATCAAGATTGGCGCGCACAAGAGATGCTGGGCCAAGGATCCGGTGGATATTGCAGGCAGGCACGCCGAACCGCGTGCGCAAAGCTGCTGGAGGACGGCGATCTGAAGCTCAACCGCTGCGGCTAGTGGTGGTCGATTGCTGGCAGGACGACAAGATGCGGGTCATCATTGATATGGACGACACGAGGGCGGATCTGTTTGCGATCTGGCGCGATCTGCTGCTGCCGGCGTCCAAGAACCCGGACTACAACTTTAAGCTTCGCCTTTTGTAACACGAAGTTTTGAATGTAATTTTTTGAGGGCATATATCCGCCCCAGACGGAAAAAAAGCTAGCTGCCAAGTCCTTCGCCCGGTCGTGGAGGGAAATGCGGGGTGAAATAGTCTGGTGTTGCTGCTTTGGTCATGTAACCCATGAACCCCTGGCGACAGGTGGAAGGGGGTCTTAGAGCGACGGGAAGGCGCGCTGGTCTGACGTCGACGCGGCCCTGACGGGGACCACGGCGGTCACCGCCCCTGGCCACCACGGCCGCCGCGGAAGGCACCGCGCCTCTGCTCATCGACAAAGCGCTGCTCGATGTCAACAAAACCTTCTCCTTCTGGTTCTTGGACTTCCGGGACTTCTGGGTGGCAACGGGGGCAAAGAAGACGTCCTCCTCGCGGAGAACTGCACGGCCTCCTTGAGCTGCTTCTTGTCAACGCCGGCCTCGTTGGCCTTGCGGATCTCGCGGTCAGTGTCGACCGAGACGGTGGCGCGCTCCTTCAGGTAGTCCTCCAGGGTCTTGACGTCCTCCTCGACCTCCTCGGGCGCCGGAGTGGCGTCTCCTGGCCGTCCTTCTTGGCCTGCTCGGCAGCCTTCTCGCCATCCTCAACCGTGGCCTTGTCGTCGCCCAGCCAGCCCTGCTTCTCCTTCTTCTCGAGTCGACCAGACCGGTGCCGCTGTGGCGGTCGAACTGGCGACGGGCGGGGCGGCCCCCTCGGGGCGGCCACGGGGTCCACGGGCCGACTGGCGCGAGCGGCTCTTGTCGTGGGTCGGGTAGGCGGCGGTCTCCTCCGAGGCTCCGGCGTTGCGGCGACAGTGCGGCGGTGGCCACCGCGGGTCGGGTAGTCGCGCTTCAGCGAGCGCTCGGCGGGCTGCGCGCGCTCGGCAGCGGGGGTGGCGGCAGCGGTCTTGGCGGCAGCCTTCTTTGGCGTCTAACGACCTGGACCGACACGTCCGACGGCGTTGTCGGGAGGAGAGCGAACGGGTTAGACGAAGCAACAGACATCGGGGACTATTGGAGATAAGGGCGTTTAGTTGTGCAGTAATGAACGCAGATAAGGAGTGGCAATGGACACCCACTAGCATGGGGAGGCTATCGAGCAGTTAGGAGGCAGTTAGACTACTGGGCTGTATAGCACGTAGCATGCCGGCTCTTTGCGTGTTTGTTTGCTGCAAAGCTCAGCAAGAGCCAATGCCCTCTGGGCTATCTACACGGCTCAAGGAAACAGCCCAGTGTCCACGTTCCATGGGCCCACGCTGGCTACCCTGTAGGGCTTCCTCTGCTAGTCGGCTCTTTCGCCTTTGTCCAAAAAAGGAGGCGAATTGGCTCAGATCGCCAGCAGAATGTGCGAATTTCGCAAACCCAGATTCGCCCCTCTGCCCGAAGCTCCTTGGCGCGTTCTGGCTCAACAAAAAGCGCTGCCAGATCAAGAGCCGCTTAAAACCCCCCTCGAACACGGCACGTCGTCGCAGTGATCATATCGGCAACGTCGGATCCATCGCGAAAATACAGACACTTACGATTTGATGCGGTTTATTTATCGAAAAGAAAAAATAATGGTCAAAAAGGGGGGAAAGCGGGCACCCGCCTTTCCTGCGTCTGGCCGCGACTCACACTCTGGCGTGCGCTTTCGCAGACACGTCAGCCTTTGGGCGGGGCTATTCACGCTGGGTTTCGCTGAAACCTGCCCCTTATCCCAAAGGACCTTGCTGGCACTGCGCGTGCATGCATGCCCTGGTGCTTGATCCCGGAAGGGCCGACATCAAATCAACGGGGCGCTGGGGTGGCGCAAGCTGCCTCTGGCTTTGTCTTTAGAGGCCGGCGGGGGAACGCGAGTGCGAGTGCGCAGCAGCGGTCTCCTCCCGGTGCTTAGTAATAAACCTCGGCAGGTCACTAGCCCATTCCAGAAAAAGCAGTGTTATTTGAAAAATCCTCTTGGCGCCGTCTTGCGCGTGCCGCTTTGGTGACGTATGGCGGGACTGGCCATTCTCCAATCCGCCCAGGGCGTCATTTTCCCCTAGTATAAAAGGGCTGTATTGGGAGATCCTGTCTGCTTCTGGGAAACTGGTTGGTTTGTTTTCATTTCTCTACCCTTGTTTTTTTGTAACACTACTATTTCGTCGACAAAATGGAGTTTCCGGACCTAGGCAAGAACTGTGCGCTCAAGGGGTGCAACCAGCTGGACTTTCTGCTTCAAAATGCCAATACTGCAAGCAGTATTTCTGCGAGTCGCACTGGAAAGTGGACACGCATACGTGCGCGCAAAAGCACCTGGTGCAAGACTACGTGTTCCAGACTGCCCGCTGTGCGGCAGGTGGTGTCGATTCGGCGCGTGAGGACCCGAATATCGCCGTGGACCGGCCATCCAGGGCGGGTGCAAAAAACGGACAATGGGCGCGGCCGCGTACAAGAAGGGGTGTCAGTTCCGCCGCTGCAACGATAAGGTTCTGGTATTGACGACGTGCCAATACTGCAGAAAGGAGTTTGCCTGAAGCATCGGTTTGAGTCGGATCACCAGTGTGCAGGCGGGAGAGCGCAGTCGGCGCCGCCCAACAGCGCAAAGTCGGGGATTATGAAGGGCCTGGGGCTGGGGAAGAAGGCGGTGTCGGCGAAGCCCAGTCCGGTACGAACCGGGGCAACCGAGGAAAGCAGCAGCAACAGCAGAAGGCAGGGGGCAAAGACACAGGGTGCATTATTGCGTAGGCAGTGCAAGGGGCTCGCAGACCACATAGAAAGGGAGGGTTGCCCCCTTGGTAACCATCACCCGGGTATATTCGCATTCCAGCGACCATGGCTGGCCGTGTTTTTTGATATTGCCGGTTTTGTGATGTGCTCAAGTCGGTTACTCTCACCCCCCATATTTGCTACATTTTCACTGGTTTCGTTTTATTTTGTCCAAGCTACTAATACAATACACACAATTTTCCCGCCCTGAATGCCTCCACCAAACCTCCAACAACGCCATGCCTAATATCTGCGTCACTCCGTTCTGCCCACACGAAAAGTACCATCTCTTTCTCTGCGAGCTGGATGACACGACATTCATCGTGGACGCTGGCTGGCAGATCGAGCCCCTAGACACGCCACAGTCTGCAAATGATAAAGCCGCACGCACCAGCCAGCGCTTTGGACCCGGTGTCGACGCTCAGCACAGTGAACTGGGCGCTCATCGACTTTATCTTGATCTCAAACTACGAGCAAATGGCGCTCCTCCCGTACATCACCGAATACACCGAGTTCTCGGGCCCCGTCTACGCCACAGAGCCGACCAAGAGCTATGGCCGCTGCGTGCTAGAAGAGCAGATGCAATTCGCCTATACCACGAGTTCTTCGGCCAGCCAGAAGCATTTGTACTCGCAGCGAGATATTATCGCGGGCAATGGAAAAGATCACCGACGTGCGGCACAATGAGATAGTCAGCCCGATGCCGTTTGTGCAGGCATATACTAGGAGCTCCGGGTACTGCATTGGCGGCGGGAACTGGACGGTCGAGTATAAGGGCCATCGAACGGCATTCGTGAGCACTTCGGCATTGGCATGCTTGCATCCGCAGGAGTACGATCCGAGCTGCATCGCCGAAGCCCAGGCGATTGTCTACTGCGATGTAAGCGATCCCCAAATGCAAGGCAGCATGGACGGCGAGAATATACAGGTGACGCAGCGGGCTCAACCAACTGTGCTCGACAGCCATTGCGACACTGAAGCAGCGCGGGCGGGTGATGCTGGTGGGCGAGCCGTACGGCGTCACACAGGACATCCTGCAAGCGGTGATTGAGAACAGCATATCGCTGAATCTCCCCTTGCCGCAGGTTGTGGTGGTGGTCGCCGGTGGGCGAGCGCGCCCTGCCAGTACGGCAATATCATGGGCGAGTGGCTGTGCGAAAGCAAGCAGGCCCTTCTGTACCTGCCCGAGTACCCGTTTCTGGACAAGGAGCTCAGGCAGAAGGGCCATTTGCACTTCGTCGAGTCGCTGGGCGACCTGGCACGGCGCCATATCCCCCAGGGCACATGGTTTGTGATCGCATCGCCACGGGACACCAGGACCATCGAGCATTTCATCCGCCAGTGGCGTCTGGACGCCCAGACATGCAGCAGCGCCGATATGGCGGCCAGCACGGGCATGGCCAGGTTCTCCATATTAATGCATGACGACGATGTTGTGGCAGCGCAGGCGCTTGTGGACCGACTGGCTGCGACTGCCGAGATGACGTACTGCCCGGTGTCGCGGCGGTTCACTGCGCAAACGGTCGAGCAGACGCTGCGTGGCGCCGGCCGCGCGCAACATGTGCTGGTTCCGAGCCACGTATACGCGCGGCTAAGCACCAGCCACTGGGAATTCGCATTGTGCGAGTTTTCGCACTTGAACGCGACCCTGGTGAGTCTGGATACGGACCGGCATTTGCCGCTCAATATCCAGCGGGAGCTGGCCGACAGCATGCCGGGCGCAGCACCGCCAGCACTCGTTGGTGACAGGCGTTTTGGCGCTGGCTGCCGGCAACATTCGGCTGGAGTGCGAGCAGCCGGTGAAGCCCCCCAAGGCCGAGGTGGTGGTTGATGTGGCAAGGTGGACGCCCGAGGCGTTGGCTGAGGAGCTCATCGCAAATGGGCTTGATGCGGCGGCGGACCACCCGAATGTGCGGGTCGCGGTCCCGGGCGGCACGGCGGTTATTCGCATGGGCGGCGAGCAATGGCAGGTGGACTGCACATCGGCCAGCGCCCAGTGGGTGGTGTTTGACTCGCTCAAGCGCGTGCTGGAAAGCTAAATTGGGCGCTTGGGCCAAGCAATTGGCGCCACTAATCGCTCATATCGGACAAAATAAATCCCGGCATCCAGCTGCTAACCATCCTCCAGCCTGCGGTGAACCTTTTTCCTTCTCCATCCTTTTTTTTTTGCCATTCGCTGTCTCTCTTTTTCCACCCAGTTAATGTCTGCCGACCCCGCACTGCGATACGTCTACTGGCGCTTTGTCGTGCTTGGCATGGCCACGCTGATGGCCTGGAACGTCTATATAACGGCCTCAGGCTTTTTCCGGCACGTATTCCGCAACACCCCTTTGCGGGACAGCTTCGAGAGCGTGTTCTCGATATTCTCCAACACCATCAACCTCATAGCGCTCAGCTACGCGCTGTACACGCAGCCTTCGGCCAACAATGACCGGCGGATCCAAGCCGGGCTTTTGTCGACCGTCTGCGTGTTTCTGGCGCTTTTGCTTCTGCCACTGCTCAACATTGACGGGTGGTTGGCATTGGTAATTGCGCTGCTGGCGCTGTGTGTGGCCGCAGTGGCAGCGGCATTTGTGCAGTGCTCGATTTTTGGCATTGCCGCACCATTGCATGCGTGCTGCGCCGAGGCGTATATGGGTGGGCAGGCGATTGCCGGGACTGTGGCCAGTGCATTGCAGCTATTTACAGTGTACGGCGCCGAAGATGATGGCCGGGTGAGGGTGCGCGCGGGCGTGTACTTTGGCATTGCTGCGGTGTTTCTTGCTCTGTCGATGGCGGCGTGGTCGCAGCTGAGCCGCCATGAGATGATTGCGCAGAATGCATACCGTGCATTGGATGGGCCGGACGCTGGCATGGGGAGGATGCAGCACGGGTCGCCGCGGCTGACACGCGATCCGGAGGGCCCTGTAGAGTATGCGGTGGAGACGGTTGAGCTGGAGCAGGTGGTAGAGCAGAATGGGTTGCCCAAGTGGCTGGACGCGCTGGGCCTGGATAACATGAATGTGCTGTATTTGGCGTTCGGCGAGATCGCGCCGTTCGCGTATATCTGCGGATCCGCCATGTGCCTGACATTGGCCCTGTTCCCGCCTCTGACCGAGGCCATTGTGAGCTCGCCCAAGAGCTCGCCACAGATCGCCAATCTGACTGCCTGGCACTTCCTGCTGTTCAATGTCGGGGATTATCTGGGCCGTCTGTCGACGCAGTGGATCAGATGCGAGTCGGTGAGGGTGCTGAATTGGATTGGTGCCGCGCGCCTGCTGTTTGTCCCGGCGTTCCTTATGTTTCCGACTGTGGCGACGGCGCCCGGCGATGCGCTGGTTGTTCATTCGGATTTGCTGTTCCTTTTGCTGGTGGTCATGCTGGGATGGTCGAATGGCTGGGTTGCCACTATGACGCTAGTACGGGCCCCCAGAGATGCTACCAACAAGGCGCTGGCTGGCTCCGTGCTGAGCTTTGCACTGTGCGTCGGCTTGATGGTCGGCGCCCTCCTGTCGTATCCGATCCTGCTTATTGCCGGCATATTGTAGTGGAGGGGAGGTACGCTTTTTTATTTTAGAGATAGGGTGTCTATACACAAGCATAGAGAGGGGTTTAGGTAAAAAGAAAAAAAAAAACAAAGTGCGAGAGCTAAAAAGGACCTAGAAACATTTTTTTGTTCAGAACGCGAGCAGCTTACTTCCTGCCACCGAAGAAGTCGATCAGCCTGTTGACGAGGCCCTTGCGCGGCGGCTTGTCACCGTGCGCCGTCCTCTTGTGCGGCTCCTTCACAGGTTCCTTGGCCTTTGCTGGCTCCTCAGCCTTGGGTTCCTCCACCTTGGCGGGCTCAGCCTTCACAGGCTCCTCGGCAGCAGGGACAGGCTCCTCAACCACGGGCTCGACGACAGCGAGCTCTTCGACCTTAGCAGGCTCTTCGACCTTAGCGGGCTCCTCGACCTTAGTGGGCTCCTCAGCCTTCACGGGCTCCTCAGCAGCAGGGACAGGCTCCTCAACCACGGGCTCGACGGCAGCGGGCTCTTCCACCTTAGCGGGCTCCTCAACAGCAGGGGCAGCGACCTCCTCGGCCTTAGCGGGCTCCTCAGCCTTCACGGGCTCCTCAGCAGCAGGGACAGGCTCCTCAACCACGGGCTCGACGGCAGCGAGCTCTTCGACCTTAGCGAGCTCTTCGACCTTAGCGGGCTCCTCGACCTTAGCGGGCTCCTCAATAACAGGGGCAGCGACCTCCTCCTCGACCTTAACAGGCTCCTCAGCCTTCACGGGCTCCTCGGCAGCAAGGACAGGCTCCTCAACCTTGGCAGGCTCCTTGGCCCTAACCTCTTCGGCCTTAGGCTCCGAGCGGTCGATCGGCGTGGGAGCGGGGGCACCGGCGGCGACGATCGCCTCCACATTACCCAGTGACGGGATCTCAAAGGCAGGCTCCTCGACCTTGGCAGGCTCCTCAACCTTGGCGGGCTCCTCGGCCTTAGCGGGCTCCTCAACCTCGGCAGGCTCTTCAGCGGCAGGAGCAGCAACCTCCTCCTTCGATTCCTCGGCAGGGGCAGTCTCCTCGACAGTCTCCTCGGCACTCTCCTCGACCTTCGGCTCCTCAGCAACAGCCTCCTCAACCTGCATCTCCTGCTGCTTCACCTCCTCGGCAACCACAGGTGCTACCTCGGGCTTCGGCGCCGCAGGCTTGCTGTTTCCTCCCTTCTTTGACTTTCCAGACTTTCCCTTCTTGGCCATGATGTTAATAAAAGCTACAGAAACAATAATGTCGTTGAGTTGGGATGGATTGTAGATGGGAAGAATGGACAGGGGAGCGCGGAATGTTTGTTCACGTATTATAGTCCAGGACCAAACAGAGTATGCCCAGTCATGTTTATTTGCATTAGAGGCTCCTTTTGGCATTATCAAATTGATGGGCATCCGGATTTTGCAAAAGCAGAAAGCAGCCACCTCTGCTATAGCCGACAATTCTCGGAATCGCCAAAAGGGCTGGGAAGAAAATAGCTTCAGCGTATGCTGCACTCTGCACGGCAGAGGCGCGTGAGGCGCGTGATGAAAGAGCCGTCTGAGCGCAGGCAAACAATCACCGTAGACCATGCACGCTAATGTGCAGCCAGAAGCTGTCCTTGGAGGGGACGCAGACTACTTACCTCTAAAAAACGCACTAATAAATAGTAGAAAAACTACGTCAAAAAACTAGAGAACAGAAAGAGATATTACATTGGTTCTTTTGCGCTTTCCAGCCAAAAGTAATCGGGTTTAAAAGTCAGAAAAATTGGGGGAGGGGTGGTTTGGTGAGCCGACATTGACTAAAGAGCACCCTTCCTGTCACATCCTCCCTTTTTTTTCGAAGCGTACAAGCATGCACAACACTGAAGCAAAACGAGAAATTGTAACCCAGAACCTCCCCTCCCCGACGGGAGAAGGGGAGTGGATCTCGGTTTTTCGTTATCAGCGCCATAATGGCAATGGGCATTAATGGACGAAATCTCCCTCGTCCCCCTATTTATAGTGGCAGTGACGAGATTGCGCCTGCAGTCTGGCCCAGGCGTGTTCTGGGCCAGCGATTCCCGCTGCATCGGTGGGAAAATGGGATTGGCGAATCAGAGATTTGATTACTTTCCAAACCGGAGGCTGGCGGATTTCCATGTGAAAGGAAATTCGCCGCGCCTAGCAAGCCTGGCTATTTCATGTGCGTCGTATCGTCCGGGCTTCTTCACTTTGGCTCCGGCGGGAGGAATTGGATGCGCCAGTTTTTACCTCCGCGGAGGGGAATCAAAGTAGAGTGCCCCGGGGTGGGCGGTCCGTTCTAATGCTCCGTTGGCGAAAGGAGCCGGCCCGGGCTCTACAATCGCATTCATTTTGCGGGCCACAAGTGAAGATAGCAGCTTCGTCTCTCTTTCTTTCCTGAGCCTCTACTTCTTTACTTTTGCGCCACATCTGTATTTTTAACTGTTCGCACTCATAGACTATAGGAAAAGACAAACTATGCCCAGCTTTTGGACAGCAGACGCGCCGCTAGCGCAATTCCCGGTGCGCATTCAGCCCGACAGCAGCGGGTCGGAGGACCCGGGGCTGCAGGTGGAGGTATCGCCGACGACGTTCGAGAAGCTTGCGCGCGCAGCCGAACACCATGCACGACTCTCAACAAAAGATACCAGCGCACTGGTCAGCAGCAGTAAGTAGCTTTCTACATACCATCAGATCAACCACAAACCATCATGGGCTGAAAAAGAACACCTTGCATAGGAATCTACGTCAGTATCAGGACGGCAAACGGCGGCTGTGTGGCGGCGGTGGCCAAGAGCTATCTGGCCAGTGCTCCGGGTGACGTAGCCGTGTGCCAGGTCGGGCGCAGCGTCTGGGCGGCGCTGGGCGGACGCGATGCATGGGAGTCAGCGACACTGGAGGTCGTGGATCCGGTTGAGCTCACGGAGCTGGTGCTGGGCGTGGACGCTGCGCAGTACGCAGACGCCATAACGATGCAAAAGGAGATTGCTGAGCACGTGCAGGCAAAGCTGTTCCGGCACAATCGCGAGGTAAGGGTCGGCGGGCTGACGCTGCGTTGCCTAATGTGCCAGCCCGTAGCCCAGGGCATTGTGCGGCCGGGCAGCAACCCGAAAATCGTCATTGTCAAGGACACACGGCGTGCGGAAATGCCCGTGGGCGATGCAGTAGGCGAGGAATGGGAGGATCTAGGTGCCGAGTGGTTTATTTTGGACGGCGCCGGTGATACTCTGCTGGCAGCCGCTGGACCGCACGGCGTGGAGATCAAGGCTGCGGCATTGCTGGCACCGGTCGACCATGCGAAGATTGCACCAGTCGAGGATGGCGAGGACACAGGGAACCGCGGGTACGCAGAACTGGCGACGCTGGCCAAGCTGGGCGTGGTCAGTGGCAGCTGGGTGGCTGTGACCAGTGCGCACAGTGACTCGGCCGAGCGCCGTGCGATCCGCGTGTTTGGCTGCGATGGCATCACTACAACCGACACGCTTGCGCTGCCGCCGCTGCTTTTCCACGGCCTGCAGGCATCGGGCATACCGTCGACTGAAAGCATTCCGGTGACGGCAGTGCCGCTCGGCGTGCCACCCAGCACCCCCAGCCCAGCGTTCCTTGAGAAAGAGCCCACGCAAAAGTTCCAGCCGGCTCTGGAGGTCGCGCGCAAAGTAGTGATTGCCAGAATCATCTCGCCGCTGGCAGAACGGCGCGATTTGGAAGCGCATGCGCTGGCGGCGCTGCAGGGGTGGCTGAAGCCCGAGGATGGCGCATTGCGCGTGGTACGTACAGGCGATGTGATTGCTGTGCGGGTCTGCCTGGCCGACGCTATGGTGCGCACCAAGGTTGCAGTGGCGGCGGGTAATGATGCGGCAGCACGGATTCGCAGTGGCGAGAGCGACATGGATCCATCTGTCGTAGACGTGGATCCGGTCAATGACCTCGTGTTTGACACGCCGGTTATTGGAGATTCAGGCAGAGTGGATGCCAACGAGCTCGTGTTCTACAAGATCGTCAGTGCCGAAGGGTTCCGGAACCGCTGGGCGTCGTCATACGACAGTGAAAGCGAGGAGGACAGCGAGTACGAATACGTAAGTGGACTACGACGAGGAGGACGACGGAGAGGAAGACGTGGATGCAATTGCGGACCCGCTGGACCGGCAATGGGCACAGTGGTACCGGCGGGTACGCGGTCTGGGTCTGGTGGTCCAACCCGACACCACAATGGTGGCGCAGGCGGGCTCAGTCCACGCCCACGCGCCGTACCAGGCCATCCGTGCCTTCCAGGACACCCTGGGTGCACCATCATCGGGTGCCGAGCCGTACGCAAATGTGTGTGGCCAGCTGCTACGCCTGGCGCGTGCAGCACTGCATCCACTGGCGGCACGGCGGCGGCTCGTGTGTGCAGCGCTGCTCAAGGGAAACGCAGGCACGGGCAAGCGTCACGTGGTGCGGTCCCTGGCCAGCACCCTGGGGTCCATTTGTACGAGCTCAGCAGCTACGACATTCTGGGCGACTCTGCCGACAAGACCGCGCAGGCCCTGCAGCTGTACTTCCAGAACGCCATACGCTACACGCCATGCATTCTGCATCTGCGGCAGGTCGAGGCACTGGCCACAGAACGCAGCACCCGGCGAGGAGAACGACCGATCTGCCGATTGCGCGCGTCCTCAAGGCCTGCCTGGACGGACTTCACCCGGGCCGCACCCCGCCGGAGTCGGGCTTCCCGGTGCTAGTGGTGGCGACCAGCAGCATGGCTGACAAGATCCCGAGCGCTCTGGCCGGCTGCCTTCCGCCACGAGCTCGAGCTGGCCGGTGGCCCGACGAAGACCACCAGAGCGGCGCTGCTTGCGCGGATGTCTCAGGGACTGACCGCTGGCGCCTGACGCCGACCTTGCATTTGTTGCGCAGCAGACAGCGTCGTTTGTCGCACGTGATCTCGCCATGCTCTTCAAGCGCGCTGCGAACCGCGCGTGGCGGCGTGCGCGTCCCAGGCCACACGCCCCTGCAGACCGCGGTCCCTGGCTCTGTCGCAGCAGATCATCACAAACGACGACCTGGTGGGTGCGCTGGGCGATGCGCGTGCGTCGATGTCGGACACCCTGGGAGTGCCAAAGATTCCGAACGTCAAGTGGGACGACGTGGGCGGACTGGCAGACGCCAAGAAGGACATCCTGGATACGATCCGGCTGCCGCTGGAGCAGCCGCACCTGTTTGCGTCCGGACTGAGCACGCGCTCCGGCCTGCTGTTTCTACGGGCCGCCGGGCACCGGCAAGACGTTGCTGGCAAAGGCCATTGCGACCGAGTGCGGGCTAAACTTCTTCAGCTGCAAGGGTCCGGAGCTGATCAGCCCGTATATTTGGCGAGAGCGAGGCCAACGTGCGCAAGATCTTCCAGCGCGCGCGCGAAGCCAGCCCGTGCGTAATCTTCTTCGACGAGCTCGGACTCGCTGGCGCCCAAGCGCGGGCAGCAGGGAGACTCGGGCGGCGTCATGGACCGCATTGTCAGCCAGCTGCTGGCCGAGCTCGACGGTATGAGCGGCGGCGGCAGCGAGGATGGCGACAAGGCTGCCGCTGCCCCGCAGGTGTTTGCCATTGGCGCGACCAACCGCCCGGATCTGCTCGACCCAGCGCTGCTGCGCCAGGGCGCTTCGACAAGCTGGTGTATCTGGGCGTCAGCGAGACCCATGCAGCCCAGCTCAACATCATCCAGGCGCTGACGCGCAAGTTCCACCTCCACCGCGACCTCGACCTGGCCATGGTCGCCGAGCAGTGCCCGTTCCACTACACCGGCGCCGACTTTTACGCGCTGTGCTCCGACGCGCTCCTCAAGGCCATGCTGCGCACTGTCGACGAAGTGGACGTGCTGGTAAACGACTGGAATAGCGGCAATGCTGGCCCTGGCGCCCACTACCCGGTGCCCATGACGCCGCAGTACTACTTGGACCATATTGCGCCTGATCACGTCAAGCAGGTCACTGTGACCATGGCTGATTTTGAGCGCGCCCTGGACGAGCTGATCCCGTCGGTGTCTGCCGACGAGCTGGTGCGGTACCAGAAACTGCGCCGACAGTTCGATTCGACGCTGAAGAATGCGCAGAAGGAGGCCGAGGAGGAGCCGGCAGCAATGCCCCCGCGCAATAAGGGCAAGCAGATTGCCGTCGAGGACGGCGAGGAG